GATAAAGGAAACTTGACGGTAGTTAGGGAAAAATCACACTATGGGAAAAAATTTGAAAATACTTCTAGAAACAAAAATACCTATAAATTAAAAAAACGGACCCCACAAGAACGATCGAAACAAAACGTAAAAAAAGTGGAAACCTTGCTAAAATAAAACATATTCACAAAAACAGTAGTCATAATTAAAATTGAACAAATATGGACTTCCAATGACTATATGTTCATCATTTCAATTATTTATTCATTATTTGGCATATGAATTCTACTAGGCTTGCTTTTTAACAACAGAGAATGAAGAAATTGGATACAAAATTAACTAAAAAATAACAGTTTTAGTAAAAACTGAACTGTGATTATTGTTTGTTATGATGAATTAATTTTTAAATTTAGAAAATCTTTAGTAACTAATTGGAGGGTTTAACATTCTAAAAAAATTTTAGAAGCAGATAGAAATTTTGGGTATATTAATGAAGGTGAATGAGGTTTACATGGAATAATTGGGGATGTTTAGGGTTTTTAGAGATATTTCTTGACTGCAGTTGAAGTAGTAAAATATAAACTATATAAATGTGCATTTTGAAAAATATTTCAAACCTGAAAATTTATAAAATTGAAGTAGAGATTTTTAAAAGGATTGCAATCTCGTGGTGGTTTTGTACTCATTTGACATTTGAGTGATTGATTGATTCGCCATCTTGTATTTCTCATATGGCCGAACCACCTACTTTTATCATTTATAGTGGTTTTTGATTGACACGCCCAAAAAAATTGTTTCTTTTTTCCCATAAAAAACGCCTTTTAATGTTGGCAATATTATGCATTTTTAATATGGTCAAAACACAGGTTTATGAATAATTTTAAGCCGTTAGGAAACTTTGTAGTTTACAAGACAAAAATTTTGTGCACTAGTTCCAATGGAACTTTTTAATTTTTTGTGCGGATTATAATTTTACAGTAACGGTTTGCTTCAATGTTTTTTAGGTTTCTGTTAAATGATTGGCTTTTTTACATTTTTTTGCATTCATATTACTGTTTTTTTTAAATTGCGTGTACCAGTTATAATATGCTTTGTTATTTAATGTTGTATTGTATAGAACAGTTTTTATGAGAAAAATCTGTTAATTAGTACGTTATCCAACGTAGATCGCAGTCCGATATTCTGGCTGTTTGAGAATCGAAATTGATATTAATCCAGCCTCGTTTGAAACAGGATACACCTGCAAAAGTATCATGTGACGTCTAACAAGCCACTATCCTCCTCGTTTGCACTGAAGATAAACAATGTTTAGCGGGTTCCCATAATTTGTGAGAAACGCCTACTACTGGGTTGAATTTTACGTATATCACCTTTCCATTTTATGTATTCTTTTTTTCGAATATTTTGCTGAATATAATAAAACGTTTTTTTCGTAAAAGATATTTTTTTTGAGGTTAGAATTGTTTAAGTTATATCAGTTACGCAGTAAGTCTCGCTGTAGGTCAACATTTGTTGTTCGTAATATCGTTCTTGCCTTTTTTCATTTTTTTTTTTCATTTTTTTCTACTGTATGATAGTCCAACACAGCGAGAATAAGCAGACTAAAATTCCCATTCGTTCAGACATTGCCTCGCAAAAATCCCAATTTTTATTCGTACTTATAAGCAATTTAATATCAATTTTTGTAATGGATGGTTCTTTACATAGAAGTGTTATTAGCAACTATCCGGTTTTCGAGCAGTAAACCCTCAAGATCAGGTTCAAGAGTTAGGAACACGAGAATTAAGGAGTGCCTTGTTAATCCACTGCCCACGCGACGTTCCAATGAGAAGCTGGTTTTTCATACCGCTCAATTTTGAAGTGGGAATTTTGAAAAAAAAAATCGCATGGTGTTGAGTTTTAATGAAATCCGGATAGTTTTTAACATATCTGTGAGTTAAATCATCTTTCACAAAAGAGTATCGACATATTCACTCCGCCGCAATTATTTGTATTAACCTGCCAATTAATTTGTCACTTGTCCATAATGTTTAAATGTGGTGTATAAGACCATTATATATATATATATATATATATATATATATATACATACATTCTGAAACCTACATCACACCAGATCACACCAGACCGCATCTCACGATTTCTAAATACGGTCACTAATCACCACATACACGCACACACACATATATATATATATATATATAAAATGGTAGTATACACCACATTTAAACATTCGTTAGACAAGTGACAAAAAAAAAAAAAAAAAAAAGACCACTGGTTTTTGCACTGTATATTTTCCTTTGCCTTTTGAGTCACATAACATATGTGTGTGTATGTATATATAATGATCTTTATACACCACATTTACACATTCGCTAGACAAGTGACAAATACCGACCGGTTACCACCTGTTTTTTTCACGAATAAAATGGCCAAATTTGGAAATGTATATTTTCTCAGGCTTTTCAGTCGCAGACCTGCGCTAAGTCTAATATTTTAGAAACATTTTACTCCTGAACAAGATGGCTTTTTAAAGTGTTTTCCTAGCTTCAATCATTCATCAGTAAATTTAAAAAATCGGGAACGAGTTAATTTTTGCACTTTTTACGAAAACTCGTATTATCTTGTAGGGAATGCCTGATGAAGGACAGGCAGCCAGAAACGAACAAGGAAAGAAAATACAAAAAACTTGTCTCTCCAAAACCCCACGTGTTCTCTTGGAAAATTCCTAACCTTTAAAAAACTTTTTTTAAGAGGACAAACTTTCTATATAATTAAATATTTACACGTTTGTAATTTCATTTTTTGTTGTAAAGTTACCATTTACATATAGCAAATTGTACGTGGGTCCTAAACTTAATATGTTGCTCACTTCACTAGGGAATGTTAGTAAGATTTTTAAAAATTTGTCTGTTTCGTTTTTGTTCTCGAGGTGATATAGGAGGTACATAAGTATGTTTTAGTTTTAAGAATGTCGCGCTGTCTTTTGAAAAAAAAATCACTAAATTTTTCTTCGTTGGATAAGTTCTTAAGCCTGTATTATGTGGCTGGGAAGATCATTCTTAAATATGACTTTTAGGCTCATCAAATGCGTTTGATGTTTTTCATAAGTTCATATTTATGATATTATTTCCATATTTAAAATATATTACAATTAATTAAGGTTTTTAGTTGAGATAAAAAGGTCAATGGCACGAGCGGGATTCGAACCCACGACCTTCGGCTTGATACGCCGCTGCTCGACCACTTGAGCTATCGTGACCTCGATCCACTCGGTCACCAACTTCCCATCTCAACCGCACCTTTTGAATTTTCCCTCCTTTTTGCCATTTTTCAAAGGGGAAGTTCTTCTCGCTTTTTTTTTATTTTAATTTTATTCTTATAGCAGTTTTATCGTTGTAACCGTTTTGCAGATGTACATAATATAAAATAGAAAAACAAAATAAAATATGTTCGCTTTTAACGTCTACGTGTAAATTAAATAATTTTTCGGACAACCTGTGCGTTTATAAGAACAAATTCTTTTGATTATCTTATATATTTTGAACGCAAACTTTAAATAAAAAATCAGATTCTCAAGAACTTCTTTTTGAACCAATCTTCAATAGAATGCCCAAAATTTGTTGATAGGTGTATCCATTCTTTTTACCAGAACTTTTTTTTAAATAATATATTTTGGTAGGATCTTTGAGAGTCTCGATTCTTGGTAGCTCAAAACCTTTAATATGTAATCAATGCGTAATGGTGGTAAGATGTGGTAAGAATAAATGGCAACCTTGTCGATTTCTATACTTGGCGCTTTGTATGATATGTGCCTAAATGTTTATTTTCGTTTTAGACTTCTATGCGCATAGCTCCAAATCTCTCTGATCGGAGGGAATAATAAATATATAGATAATATATATATATATATATATATATATATATATATAATGTAAAACTTGACCTAAACCCAATTCTATTACCGCTTTCTTGTTATAATATTTCTAACAATCCCGTCTTTTTAAGTTGTTATGGCCGAGGCATCCCTTGGGAGCTTATTTCACTTAATGAGAGGGAATGCCACTAATGGGTGAATCTATAGCTCTCTACAGTTACAATGTTTCAATCAAATATCAATTAATTCTTGCGCCTAAATACCGTAGTTGTAGATTTTATAATAAATGAACGCGTAACGTGAAAGCGTGTTAACATTTAATATCATATCCTACAATTGCTATTTCCCACTCATTTCTAGCGATTGAAAATAACGTTTAAATATATTCAATAATTTCACACTATTTATAACATTAATTGGGCAATATAAATACAATTTTAAATAGATTATTGACCACAAATAAAAATAATCACTTTTCATTTACTCAATGCTTTAAAAAAAGTTTTGTCTTGTTTTGAATGATCAACAACATAGGCGAGAATGTTGACAATCGGCATTATTTATTAAAATTATTAATTCATAATTAAAATAATTGATTAAAAAATAATTAACGAATTAAAGAATAAATATAATAAAAATTAAATCATTATGATTGAAAACGAATTATCCTATATATAATTATAAAATCGTAATGATAATAATTAATAAGATTGTACAAACGTATGCAAATAAATATAATCCCCTGTTTACTTCATATAACATAACGTGGAAATGTAACAATATTTTATCTAGACAGGAAAGATTTTTTTTATGAAACTGAGTTCTTTATAGGAGCATTGTTTTCTGCCGATGATGGACGCTAGTTCGTTTAATCACCTCTTTTCACAAAAACCCATGATTCATTGTTCCAGATGATTTTTTTTTTAGACAAGGGACACGAACAAACATGCATTTTTTAAACTCAAATGGCGATAGAAAGTTGTCAATAGTGATCGTGGTAAAAAGGACTTTTTTATATATCTTTAGGTTGGCTGTCAATAGCAGGTGTTATTGTTTTTATGTCACTGAAAACATAAATTTATAATGACGTACTGAAATCAAAGATGAAAGTACTGTTGAAAATATAAAAAAGAAAACAAGAGAAAAATATAATAAAAGATGCGTGATAGCATTTTAGGGAGTAAATTGAAGGCTTGTTGAAATTAATCTTTCGGTTTGTTTATAAATTGAACAAGCTTTTAAAGTTGAGTATTGATGGATTAATTTCATTTTTATCATATCTTTTTAAGTTGGTATTCTTGTCACGTGTCACCTGGAAGTTGACAATCCACTTGTGCGCACTCGCAACGGCCAGCGTCCCCAGACACGTAACTTTTATATCCGGACCATCCCTATTTCATATTTGATACTGTTTTCAGTTTAGAGCTCACCTTTTTCACAAAATATCCCCTCGTAGTCGAGATTCCTGCACTCGCATATGGGGCCCGAGTCGGTCGATATGCAGATGCCGCCGTGTTGGCACGGATCGTGCTCTTCGCATGCATCCGTCGAGTTGTCCCTTAGGCCCTGGAAAAAAAAATGTTTTTACTAAGCGTCCATGCGGAATATCGGACATACTCATAATTTATTAAAAGTTTGATGAAGGCGTGAAAAACCAAGCGATCAGAAAATTCGAAGAAATGTAAGCATTACTTGAAAAGGACTAGGAATCCAGTAAACGAGAAAAATATGCTAAATTTTCCAAATAAATGTCAGGTTTGCTTCCAGGCTGGTGCACATATTCCTTTGTGTCCAATGATTTGTATAATCTATCTCCATTTAAAGATAGAATATATATTCAAAATCATTATCTCTCACGAAAAAAGTCCTTTTTTTGATGATTATCATATTGAAAATTTTACCGATTCAAAAAGAGATCTGAATAGAATTTAGACTTCGTAAATAGTTACGAAAAAGTGGTAGCATCACTGATTGACTTAAAGATATAAATTATAAACATAAAACATTTTTATGAGAAAAAACAAAAGTTAGTGTCACGAGCGGGATTCGAACTCACGACCTTCGACTCAATACGCTCTGCTCTAACCACTTACTTCGGTCTCCCGAGATACCGTGATGCCGAGTTTCGAAATGATTACATGAAATTTGAATATACCGATCAGACGCCTTAGCCACTTCGGCCAACGTGATCGCCACCACAACACGTATAAATAATAATAATGATTTCAATTAATTATTCTTTTTATCTTAGGTCTTTGTCCAGATGAAAAAATAGTGCCAGCGGGAGTCGAACTCATGACCTACGGCTAAACACGCCGATGCTCTACCACTTGAGCTATCGTGACTTCGATCTTGATTACACTACATTTGAAAATGGCAAAAAGAGGGAAAATTTGAACGGTTGTACGTTGAGAAGGAGAGTTGATGTCCAAGTGGATCGAAGTCATGATAGCTGTATACTATAATAAGTGGTACAGTAGCGGCGTATTAAGCCAGAGGTCGTGGGTTCGAATCCCGATCGTGAACTGAATTTTTTTTAATCTCAACCAAGATCTTACCAAAAAAGTATAATTATCTTTTATGTTTCATCTACAACGCAAAGCAACACTAGCTAAGCTGGTAGTAAATAGTGTTTGGAATGTTCTATTCACCCAGGACTTGGTACAACTTTCAGCAAATTTCGAACTGTTTAACTATATACTTGCCAATGTATTTAACTATTTAGGCCACTCCAATTTTTATTCAATTGAAACAATAAAACGTTGGAAGTTTAATGATATAAATACCTTTTTCTTCGACCTATCTAGCTGTTTAATACTTGGTTCGCGTGCCCCCAGTTCTTGAATTAATCCCTATCCGCAATTCCCGCCTGTTCCTCGCCCCCAAGCAATTTCGTATTCTTTCTAAATGTTAATTAATCCCATTGTTAACTATTACTCTTGTGAAACGATAAATCTTTCATATCTGTCATAATTCATGACGTATCAAAAGTGCTTTGAAAGACGTGAAGTGTCAGCTGCAATTCCACCTCATTTTTTATTAGTCGGTCATTCAAGTTTGTGATGTGGTAGTTTTGTTAATTTACATTTTATTAAAATCAGTAAATTATATTAAAATCTTGGCCACATTGACGCGAAATATCAGATTTGTGCATTGTGTATGTAATGTCTGCTCCACGTTTATATTTATACAGATATCAATAAATTAATTGTTTTTGAATTGTATTCTGACATGCTAATCCTGAATGTTTTCTGTATTATTGTACTTTAATTAAAAACTGTTTCAATTAATTATTCTTTTATGTAAGGTTTTGTTGAGATGAAAAATTTAGTGTCACGACCGGGATTCGAACCGACGAGCTTCGGCTGCTCTAACCACTTGAGCTATCGTACTTTCTTCACGCTTTCATCTCACCCAAGACCTTACATAAAAAGAATAATTAATGAAAATAAGTAATTTGGTCAATTAGACCACTAAACTGTTAAATTAAAATCTACTCTAACTTTTTATATTATAACACTTCAAAAATTTTTAATTTTTTGTGCAACAACGAAAGGTATTCAAACTAGCCGTAAGAAGTATTCTGCTAAGTTATATAATCAAGAAGATTGATGTTGTAAACAACTAAAAATACCTAGTCGTCAGTCTTTCGTCGAAATTATCTTTTCTGTATCATCTACAAAGGAAAGCAACACTTGCTAAGCTTGCAGTAAATATAGTTTGGAGTGATCTATTTACCCAGGACATGGTACAACTTTCAGCAAAGTTCGAAGTGTTTAACAGCGTTTGCGTTCCATCGAGTGCTATGCTTGCCAGATCTGGGGATTACAAAGATACGAGATGATAGAAAAGGTTCAGAGATATTTTATTTAAAAAGCTCTTCTCTCTTCCGGACCCTACACTGTCACATATGTTGTCGTTAGAGACTGGGGTTGACCTGCTATCTAATTTTACTTTGAACCTCCATATCTCATTTGTTTTCAAACGAATTTCTTTGGTACCTTCGCCTCCATCCAAAATTATAGCTACAGCCGTGATGAACACGAATTATTATTGGTTTTCCAAATGGAACAAGTTGGCACATGATTATGGTTTTCCTTTCACGTTTACAAGCGAAAATATAAATAACTGGCGAGGATTATCTGAAACCCTTCTAAGCAGAATTAGGGAAGTCCATCACGAGAGTTGCCTAAGGAAAGCCTCATTATCCACCCGTTTCTTCGTTTACAAAGATTTGGACCATTCATCGTGTCTCTTCAATCCACTAAGTAGGCAAATAAATCTTTTCCGCCTCTCCGAGATGCGATGATTCTTAAAAATGCGTTGCGAGCAAATATACCTCGATTTTGTACCCTGGAAATCTAATGTTAACGAATTGTGCTCTTTATGCAACTCAAAAAATAAAGGAAGATATTTTTCATTTTGTGGCTGAGTATTTTGTCAGAATATAGCCTACTGTGACTTCGGTCTTTGGGACACTAACTCATCATATCAACTACAACTTCAATTACAATTTTCAAATTTCCCACTTTTTGGCATATATTCAAATTTCATGTAATCATTTCAAATCTCGGCGACACAAAGTGGCATGTATGTACTTCAGTAATTATTATATTGCTATATGTTTTTCAGTTGGTCCCATTTAACAGAAGTAATGATTTAATTGATTTATAATTTTTATGTAAAGTGTGTGTCGCCTGTTCATGTGACGCCAAATATCGAAATGATTACACGAAATTTGTATAAATGGATAAAAGAGGAAAGTTTGAAGAAGTTGAAGGTGTCTCGTGAGACCGAAGTCACGATAGCTCAAGTGGTACAAGTCAGCAGCGCTGTTCGAGCCGAAGGTCGTGGGTTCGAGTCCCGCTAGTGACGCTAATTTTTCATCTCAACCACACTTTATATCACAATTATAAATCACTTTAAAATATATAAGTTGTTTTTTAGAAAGGAACGGTTAGAAAAACCTGCAAAAGGAAGCAAATACATAGAACAAATGAGTCGAAAATAGAAAATAGCTCACATCTTGCTTTAGATATTTTTCGTTTGTTTTTAACTAATCCTTTGAGCATATTTGAGTTTATTTAATCTGTAAGCAAACACGCCTTTTTTTAAAGGTATGTTATGAGTTTGCTTAATCTTATTTATTTATTATTTATTATTCATTGTTTAATGCTTATTTATCTTAAATCTTTAAGAAAAACGTAATACCGTCTTTAACTTTTTTACACAAAGGATTTGCATGAAAATAAACGGATTTAGAAAGTTGTAGCTGAAAATCTTAATCCTATATGTTTAGTTATTGATAATCACTTAATATTAAATTTATGTCCAGAATCGTTCGAACTTTATGAGTTTATTGTTTAAAAAAAATGTATATATAGCATATATGTGTAACGTTTTCAAGTTTTGCAGTATTATCTCATTTAAAGAACCTCCGTTTATAACAGAAAAAGTGCCGGCGTCAATTGGAGCAGGACACGTAAAATTTGTACCGGCGTACAGGACGAAACTGGATAAAATGTAGCAGGCTCATTCCGAATAGAAAATTTTTCCCTACAACAAATCAAGGGAAACCGTTGAAAAAGTGGGAATACGACTAAAGCGGGCCGTAGCCTTAGCCGTTCGAGCTGGAGTGCTATTGTGTTCCGAAAGCAAAGAGAACAACAAAAGATCGATCAGAATCCATTCTCTTGTTGACCCGTGATCAATCAGTCGTAAAATGACGTCTGTCTGAATTCCCGCCTTGCATGAAGAACTTTGTTCAAACCGGCTTGAAATGGAAAAATTCATATTGAGTCTTTTTTTTATATTCTTGTATTCAAATAACGGTCTATTATTTTAAGGTGTGAAAATTAAAAAAAAAGAATTTTTAATAGCGTTATATAAATTTAACTCCAACAATTTAGACCATTTCTAACATTAGAAAATACATCTGAGAAGAACCTATTTGTATAGATAAAATATTGTTCCAGAAGAGATATTTAAACTTAAAAAAAACCAGTTGATTATCCTCAAGCCTACAAGTCTTGAAAATTGACAATGATCTCTTTCATAAAAGGCTGATAGTGACGAATAAATATTGCTGTATAACAATAGTGTCTAGCAGCACGTAGGTGGAAAACCATACAGACATATTGTCCATTTTTTAAGAAAACAATGTAAACAAAACACGCGTTATTTATATGTGGGATGTTATTTTAAACTGAATTCTGACAAAGTATGTATACAAAACATTAACAAGAGCATTTAGAACCGCATTCCGTTAATTCCTATTTTCCGTCAAATAACACTATTTAACTTCAAATTAATCTTTTTAAACGCGAACTAAAGTTCAAATAACTATTTTTTAATTTCGAATTAACGTTTTTTAACTTCAACTTAACTTTTTTTTAATTGCCAATCACCATGTTTTAATTTTTAGTTACACAAAAACTTAGAAATCGGTGTAAAATAAAAGTATTTACAATAAAATTGCTGTATATTTGCGATATGTTTTATCATATAAAATAATTGGGCTCTGCAAATACCGTATGAAAATGATTTAAAATTAAAATTTAAAATCA